CACCTCGCCACGCTCCCGCCCACGTCTTCCCATCCCCTGGCTGTGCCGACCCAGCTGTGCACAGCTGGGCTGCAAACCGCTCTGCTGGTCTGGTCTGACTTAAAAGCCGTGTTCTGGAACAGCCTACGGGGTTTCCTGCAGCCACAGCGTGTCAGGGATCACAGACAGCTCAGCACACTAGTGCTGCAGCAACGCGGCTGGAGACTGGACTCAGGATGTGCAGCTGATGCACACCCGCCTTCATCTGGCTCTCAAGAGGGTTCCGTCTGCTCAGTGTTTGGGGACAGGGACATCTTCTGTGCCAGTGAGCCCTCATGCCCTCTCCAGCCTCACCACTGCCAAACTGACAGTATTTTCATGTATGTACTCCTGCTTCATGGCTTGTAGTCTTTCCATTTCCTGCAAGCACGCAAGCACCACAGCTCCAGCACAGAGACCAGCAGCCTCAGGCAGCAGCACAAGTGGGATCTTAATAAATAAATAACTCAGCTCTCACTGCCAACAGCTCCCACCACAGAGGGAGTGAACGAGAGCCGAGATGCTCCTTCTCCCCTCTGGAGCGTGGCAGTGACTGTGCATTTATTTCTGGTTCCCAGAGGGATGCAGGCTCAGCTGTCTGTCCCTCTGCCTACAGCTCCTGTGTCTTGCCAAGGATGTTGTACTGGAGTGGGACTGCCCTGTCATGGTCAGCAGATTGCAAACCAGTGGTCTGGTGAACTCTGGGCATGTTGCATGGAAGGCAAGGGTAGAAGGCAGCTCACAGCCTCTGGCTGGTAGCAGTAGTGCCAGAGAGCAGTTCAAGCCCCACAGGAAATTCAGAGATGTTCCCAGAGCTTGTTCCCAGCTGCAATGCCTGCCAAAACCCAGCCTTGGTTGCCAGCAGAGGACCAGGCTGGAGCTGGGGCTCTGGAAAGGCACACAGGGGAAAGCTGGGGCTGCACCATCTCATGCCCATTAGCACATTGTGGCTGCTCTAGCCAAACCAGCAACCTCTGAAGTAACGCCATGGGTATCAGGAAGGGAATTCCCATCCACATGGGTGGCATTTCACAGCTGCCAAAATGCCCTCCCCGCCAGCTCCCCGGCAGCGTTTCCTTGGTTCAGCAGGATAGGAGCCTGCCAAAAGGAATCAGCTTAGCAAGAGATCCAGGTACCCTGGCTCTTGTCCCGGAGCCTTTCTCAGCACAGAGCTGTGCTCCAGCCTGGGATGGAATGGGCTGGGGAGATGCAAATGGTTCTTCATTGTCTGTCCTTAGTGACTCTGGAGTTTCTCAGACTGGCACTTTGCTACTCAAGCAAAGCTTTGGCCTCTTGATCCCACAGTTTCCTGCGCCATTCCCAGGGAATGTGCGCCATTCTCCTGGCTGTGTGGGCAACAGAATGAAGGGCACCAGTTCCTGGAGCTCCCTCCACACCAGGGGGTGTCACTGCAGAATGGCCAGAGCTGCCCCAAACACACCCAGCCTGACTCACACAGTGAGGAGTAAAATGAATAAACACTTCAGCCTCTCTTCTGCAGGAGCAGCCAGGGAACAGCTGAAAGAGGCCAGCTTCTGGGGAGCAGCTGCCACACAAGCAGCCACCCCGAGGCTTCTCTGACAGAGCTGGGACCCAGCTCTCAGCAGATCTTTGGGATATGGGTTCCCAGTGGAATGACAGGGCAGGACCTGCCATAAAACCAGGCTGCTGCCTCAAAATGAGCTGCTCCTGCCATCGAGGGGGCCAGGCAGTGACACTGCTGCACAGAAGTTGCCCTCTTTACCACAACGACCTGGTGTGTAGGAGACCAACGTCCATGAAAGCTTTGATTCATCTAGGGAGCTTTGTCAGGAAGTCAGTTTGAAAGTGACCTTGTTCCAAAGACCTGGCAAATGTTTATAAAGGGGAAATAAATCCTGAAACCTGCACCCAAAGCTTCTGAGATCACTCCTCCCAGAGGAGCTGGTTGGATATGGATTGCACAACAGCTTCTGGGATGGGAACTACAAGCAGAGGCATGTGCAGGGCTGTCCAGAGGAGGCACCTGTGCCAGGGACGTGTCCCTGAGACTCAGCACTTGTTTTCCAGCCTTCAGGGTGGTGACAACTCCAAGCTGTGGCCAGGCTAGGTTTTCAGCCTGTGACCTGAAGAGAAAACGCTTGCTATGCAATCCCTGGGATCCAGCTTGCAACCCAGTTCTTACAAGCAACTTGGTTTCTATTTTCTGAATTTCCTAGGATCCTTCAAGCTCTGGATATTAAAACACTTGGATCTCTAGAAGCACATTTTGCTCATCTTGGCTGCTTCCTAAAGGACCAGAGAGCAGGCACAGCCAACTCTGCCACCTCCTCACCTCCTGCGTGCTGCACCAGCAGCAGCATCCTATTTTATTCCTTCCCACCCCTGGGCCCGTGCCCAGGACTAGTCTAAATTTTCTTGCCAACACATTTTTCCTCCAAAATGTTCTGCCAGTCAGTAAAGCCCTAACGCATTGTCTAAAGGTTCTTCCCAAATGTGTTTTGGACAATTCCCAATTTGTAATCCAAGATGACTGCCCGAGCAAAGCAAAAACATTTTGAGAGGACTGTGGGACAAGGGAGATCCCAGTCCCTGGGGCAGTCCCTTATCTCAGGGTTTCACCTCCCCCTCGACACCTCTTTCACAAGAGAAGGTGGGGCTAGAGATGCCCAGAGGATCTGTTCCAGATCTCCTCAGCGGTTAAAAACCTCCTCCCCACCGCCTTCCAGCCTAAACTTGGCCTCAGCCATTTCACTTCCAGAGACATCCTTCCATGCAAATCCTCCCCTTCCTCTCCTGATCCCTGGGGAATTCACAAGTATACGTGCTTCCGCTTGGAGATCACAACCCTTGCCCATGAAGGCATTTCACAGCAGCAGGCGGAGATGTGCAGCGGGGACACACCAGTGTCGCTGCCCCGGGCGGCACTCGCTGATGGGTCTGAGAAACCTCTGCTGCAGCAGACGCTTTTAGAGCGCCAGTCCCCGCACACCCCCGAAGGGACGGGCTCTGCAGTGGGCAGGGTGCGAGCTCAGCAAGGGGAGCTGCTGCCAGGCAATTCCCAGGTCCCCGGCGTGGGCGAGGGCTGGCAGCCCCTAATGCCAGCCTGTTCTTGCCGCCTGCCCCGCTCTCGTCCCGCAGAGACACCGACCTGTTGCCGGCAATTACCGGCGGTTTGCAGCTCCTCGGCTCCCACAAACTCAGACATAATTGCAGCCTGCTCTCACTGCGGCCGGGAGGGACCGGGCTGCCAGCGCCGCGCTCCCTCCGCCCTTGGCAAACCCCGCAGGAGGGAGAGGGAACACCGGCTCCGTCATTGTCATAATTTCTTGCCCACCAATATATGCCAATAGCAGCACTAAGAGAAATATCGATCCAGCGGAGAATTTCTAAGCTCTTCAAAAGCATACTGCAGTTTTCACGGTAATGTGTTGTCTCTGATTTCCCCACGAAGATGAGTGTGAAAGTGCTTTTCGGCACTGACTTCCCAGTGCAGTCTCGGTCTTTTCCTCACTCGAGTTTGTCCAGCTGCCTAGATAATTGAAACTTACGTCAAATGTTGTTCATCTGAAGTTAAACCTTACACGCTGAAGGCTGCTTTTTTTTTTTCTTTTTTTTTCTTTTTTTTTTTTTTTATCAAAAGACTTGTGGCTCCATCAAAAAGCTAAAAGCCTGGATTTGTGCTTTTCCGCAGTTTTAAACATGACACTCTCCCTTTTATTTATTTTTCTTTTTTTAAACTCTGAAGGCTCAGCAGGCAAGCCTCTGCAGGGACGAGGGCTTTGCACCGGTGAGATCTGCAAACATGTCTCTTCTTTCTTGAACTTTATTTTTCTCACGGTCTCTGAAAAGGCAAGATCGGGTGATACGTGTGGGATTGGCCCTGTACAGGTGCAGATCAGGTACAAGAGGAGGTGGAAAAACATTACTGTGTATACTCAAAAAAAAAAAAAAAAAGAAAAGAGAGAGAGAGACAGAGAGAAAGAGCGAGTGAGCACATTTTTGAATAGGCCAGGTCTAGTTCTTGGCAGGATGACTCAGGCCTAGCTGGCAGGCTATGGGAATAGGAGTGTGAGAAAGTCAGTCAAGCGGAGGGGAGAAAAAAAAGGATTCAAGTCCCCAGGCAAAATACTTCTTTTTTTTTTTCTTCTTTTTTTTAAAGTAACCCACAAACTGTCCAAACCAGCCGGCGGTGGCAGCAGGGCGGCTGGGCCAGGCCCGGGGGACAGGCACCTCCCTCGCTGCGGTTTCGGCTGTGTCCCCGATGTCAGCGCACGCACCACCGCGTCCGTGCTCTCGCCGCCAGCCTGGCGTGCCAGCCGGGCAGAGAACCACGGCAGCCCGCGCCCTCGGCCCGAGGGTGCCACCACGCACCTGCCCCGTGCTGCGCCGCTCCGGGCACCGGCCCTGCCCAGCCGGGCACGCTGCGGGGGCAGGGGCAGCCCCGCCTGGCATTGCCCGGGCGGCCTGGGGACACCTGGGCTCTGCCGTGGGGAGACTTGGGTTGCCCCGGGCAGATCTGGGCGATCGCGGCAATGCTGCGGGCACCGTGGGAGGACGCATCGGGCGCGCCCCGCGCTTCGCCGCAGCCCCCGCGCGCAGTAGCTGCGCTCCGGCCAGCGCAGCTGGGCCCGGCCCGCCGCGTCCCGGCCATCACCCCGGAGGGCCGCGGCCCCCCACAGCGCGGCCCGCCCCGGGGCCGGCGGTCCCCGAGGAGAGCGGGCGGGGCCGCGCCTGCCACGGGCGCCAATTAACCCGGTAATTAGCGCGGCACTCCCCGCGCCCCCCCCCACCGCGGGCGGTGCCCAAGGGGTTAAACCGCGGCCGCCCGCCCCGCGCCATTGGCCGGCGGCCGCCGCGCGGCGCGCAGCCAATGGGCGGGCGCCGTCCACGAGCGGGGCCGCGTGCGGGCGGCGCCCATTGGTTGGGCGCGAGTGTGGGAACGGCGGCGGGGGACGTTTCACACGAGCCGCGCGCGTGCGGCGCGCGCTATATAAGTAGGGGCGGCCAAGGGCGCGCGGCACCCGCGCCCCGCCGGCCCCGCCGCCGCCGCCCCGAGCGCTCCCTCACGGCCCGGCCCGGCCCCCCACTGCCGCCGCCGCGCCTCTTCCCGGCGGCGCACCATGCCGGCCGACCTGATGGAGAAGAGCAGCGCCTCGCCGGTGGCCGCCACCCCCGCCAGCGTCAATGCGACGCCCGACAAGCCGAAGACGGCGGCGGAGCATCGCAAGGTAAGGGCGGCCGGGACGGGACGGGACGGGCAGCGCCGTGCGGAGCCGTGCCGGACGCTGACTGTCGCCTCTCTTGTAGTCCTCCAAGCCCATCATGGAGAAGCGGCGGCGGGCGCGCATCAACGAGAGCCTAGGGCAGCTGAAGACGCTCATCCTGGACGCTCTGAAGAAGGATGTAAGTGCAGGGGGGTCGGGGCGGGGGGTGCTGGGGGCAAACGGCGCTGCCGGGCCGGTCTGAGCCCCGCCTGTTCCCGCAGAGCTCCCGGCATTCCAAGCTGGAGAAAGCCGACATTCTGGAGATGACCGTCAAGCACCTGCGGAGCCTCCAGCGGGCCCAGATGACTGGTGAGTCCCGAGGGGGAACCGGAGCCAGGGAGCTGGGGTGGCGCTGCCTGCAACCCCGGGGCTGGGGCATCGCACGCTCTGCCTGCTCCGTGCGGAGGATAGCAGGAGCACCCGGCTCTGCACCTGCATCGCAGGGGAGGGTAGCTGTTCTTTACCTGTATTCCTGGTGCCAGCGCCTCCGCACCTGAATCCTTTTTCATGGGGGACTGCTACTGGGAGGTGGTGAGGGACATAATGCTTTGTGCTAGTATCACCAATAAGGAGATGCTGGGAAGGTCACTGTGTTGTTTGTGCATTTCTGGTGCTGGAGGGCACACGGAGGGTTGCAGTCCCAGCTTGAGTTCCCTGTGCTAGCAGGGGTGTGAGAGGCACAAGAGCCACTGGAGGGACTGTGTTTCCAACCTGGGTCTCTGGTATATGGGGACATAAGGACATTCTTGGGACTTATCTGTTCCCCACCTGGGTCCCTGGTGCTGGTGGACTTGGTAGCAGAGGGGCTGTGCTCTCCATCTGAAATCTTATTACTTGGGAATGCAAGACATGCTGCCAGAGGGGCTGCTTTCCCCATCTGGATTCCTAGCTCAGAGGGGCTGTAGGATGCAGTGCTGATGGGCTGTGCACCTCTCTTCCCTGTGGAGCCTGCTGACTGCTGTGTTCCTCTCTCCTCCCACAGCTGCCCTGAGCACAGACCCCACAGTACTGGGCAAGTACCGAGCCGGCTTCAGCGAGTGCATGAACGAGGTGACGCGCTTCCTCTCCACCTGCGAGGGCGTCAACACTGAGGTGCGCACCCGGCTCCTGGGCCACCTGGCCAGCTGCATGACCCAGATCAACACCATGAACTACCCTGCGCCCCCCCCGCCGCCCCCGTTGCCACCAGCCGCAGCCTTTGGGCCCCCCCTGGTTCCTCCAGGCAGTGGCGTGGGGCCACTCCCGGGCATGCCCTGCAAGCCGGGTGCCGATGCAGCCAAGGTGTACGGTGGCTTCCAGCTGCTGCCAGCCTCCGATGGGCAGTTTGCCTTCCTCATCCCCAGCACTGCATTTGCTCCTGGTGGAGCTGTGCTGCCTCTGTATGGTGGCCCACCCACAGCTGCCACTGCTGCCTCGCCGCCAGGCCCGCCACCTGGCACGGCCGACTCAGTCTGGAGACCCTGGTGAGGGTGGTGGGCACCGGACTGGACTTGGCAATGCACCCCGTGCTGCTGGCACGGCTGTACATAGATTATATGTTCATATTGGATTGTGCCTTTGTACCATAGCACTCCCTTGACAGTGTTTCGTGTTTTACACGAGATCTTTTTTTTCTTCCTTTCCTCCCTTTCCTTATGTGACGCCAAAGATTGGGGGTTTGTTTTTTGGTTGGGTTTTTTTTTTTTGAATGCTCTTAAAATAAAAAAAGTTTCCCTTCCATTTTGGAAGGCCTTTGGAGAAAATTTGAGCTCTGGCATGTGTGCGTAGGAGAGACCCCAGTTCCTGGCTGCCTGTGGATCTTGCTGCTCCAGGGCTGCCTTGTCCTGTTTGCCAGGCTGGAGCTGTCACTCAGACCCTCTGTCCCCTCTGTCTTGTGAAATCACCTGGCCCCTCTCCCTGCCCTGGGGCAGATGTAATTACTGCTTCTTTGGGAGCAGCTCAATTAATCAGACTTGTTAAAAGGAGCTTGTATTTGCAGAGCTGGTGAATGTGCTGTGGGACTCACCTCTGCTCTGTTGTGGCACCTCGGGCTGATGGAGTTGGTGTGGTAAAGCAAGACATTGAGCTGCCCGGGTGAGCCTCCTGCCCTGAACCCGGGGGAGCCTGCTTCCCAGGCTGTAGTGTAAATTGCAAGTGACTCCAGTCAGTTGATTGAGAGAGCAGTGCCTGCCAGCTTCTCGAGTTACAAAAGCAGTGGCTCTCCGCAGGACAAGCCTGACACGAGTGCTCCTGTCTCCTGGCTGACGGGCTGCAGCAGGCGCTGGGCACCACCTCCACCTGGACTTAAAAGCACAGAGCTGTTCCCGACCCTGAGCGGCAGCCAAGCTCTGCTTGATGATTAATGCTTTGCATGTGGTTTTGATAGAGTTGGGCATTTCCTCTGCTGTTATATGGAAAACACGTGGTCGAGGGAGTGATGTGGGGCTGCAAGGACTCTGTAATCATGAGCTGCAGCTGACCCCTGTGACTTGAGGATGCCCCGTTTCCAGGCAAGATGCAAGCCATAGATAGTGGCGAGCAGCAGTCTCGGGTTACAGCTTGCATGGCCCTTCTTAACAAGTCCTAACTCAGAGCGGACAGCTTCAAGATGTGCCAGGATCCACTGGGGTTTCTGTCCAAATCCTGCTGCAAAATCTTGTTGGATTTTGTCTGGATCAGCCAGGTGCTTGACTGTATCCAGGTGCTGGGGAAATGAAGGCTGGGGAGAGTGAGACCAGATGGATTTAAACCTGCTGGGGTTTGACTCCCCAGCTTTGCTCCCAGTAAAGAAACATATTCACCTGATCTGAAAATATATCCTGGGAAAGGGGTTGGTATGTGCCTGGGATAGGCAGTGGCAGTTTGGGTTTTGTTTAGTTTTGTTTTTTTTTTAAGGACCTGATCTCCCTGGGATGAGCTTTCTCTTTTCTTGAACACCTTGCTGGCCTGCCTGCATTGCCACCCTCACAGAGGCATCTCACAGCCAGGTTTTGTGTGCAAGGCTTGAGAATATCAGATTTGTTGTCCCAAGACAGCTGTGTAGCTGTACAGGCTGAGCTTTCTTTCCCTTCCACCAGCCAGAGTGTCACCTTTCTGCACTGGAGGTACTGAGGGTAGGAGTGAGCCCACCTTGTGTTCAGAGAAGTGCTCGCAGGACCTGTCTCAGAATTGCATCAGAACAACTCCTGCTGCTGGACGGCTTGTGTGGAGCTGATGCAGACCAGTCATGCATCACCTATAAGAGTGAATGCTGTTCCATATGAGCAGAGTCTTCCCTTTCTGCTGAAGCAGTTGGTTTGGAAAGCACATTAGAAAAAAGAGACTCTGCTGTAGGCTAATGGAGAACATACTGCAGATCCCGGAGTGAAAGACAAGATGAACCTATTTGCTAATGGAGTTTAAATAGCCTAGTATAAAGCAGATACGGCATGCTTGGGCCGGTTTCTCCAAAGCTTTCTCTGTTTACTCTATCCCACAGCCTGTTGACATGAGAGATCTGCTTGAGTTTGTGAGCTTTAAGGGGATCAGAGCAATTCCCAAGAGCCGTGCTCTTGGTGCCAGTTCACTGAGCCCGTGACAAATTGGGATGACAAATGCAGGCTGTGGTCTGTGGATCATTGTGTGTGGGAATTCTCCTTCAGGTGCAGCAAATGCCTTTAAACTGGTGCTGTGGGATGAGCAGGAAAGAGTAAGGGAAGAGTGCCACGGAAGTACAGGGCTGAGCTGTGACCCTGAATGGGGACTGTACAGGACAGGTAGGAAAAGGGACTGGACTTAGTGCTGCCAGATGGGATGCAGCTCCTCTTGGCTTCCCTGGGCACCTTGCTGAGCCCTGTCTGCCAGTGGAGAGGATCCTGGGAAGGGCTGGAGTCAGGTCTTTCATGACCATTCTTGGGTTGGTCAGCACTTTGCCACAACAATCCTTTGGGTGCGTTTGCAGACCCGAGGTGCTGAGCTGGAAGGAGCAGTGCTCCAATCCCTGCCTGCAGTGCACCTGCACGGGGGTCCGTGTGCAGGGGGCTTTTCCTGCCTTCCAAGCACCGTGCCTTGCCCCCCACCCACCACGCAGCTTACAGCCCCGGCTGCCCCTCGCATCCCTTCCATCTGCTGCTGCTGCCGTCCCGGGAAACCTGTCATTAAAGTCAATTAACTTTTCCCACACTCCTCGTGAGCGGTGCAAAAGCCCCTCCTTGCTTCCTCCTTGGCTCTTAAGTGCTACCATATGGCACAGGCCCCCGCGCCCCCCCACGCCCGCCCTGCCTTTGATTCCAGCCAGACAGCCGGAGCTTTATGATTTAAGCCGGGAGAGCCCTCGTACCAAGCCCTGGGCCGCTCTGCGGCCAAGGTGGTTTTTTTAGCAGGCAAGGCTGTTTTCTGGCAGGAAATGAATAGCTCCCAGATGAGCTCAGGAACCTGAGAGGTCGTGAGAAAGGAGCGAACCCCCGGCGCGGTGGCGGGCTGCCAGCGGTGTGGGGAGCGCGGGAGGGAGCGCGCTGCTGCCGCCGCACACGAGCGCGCCCGGCCCCCGCTGGCAGGCGGCGGGGCCGGCACCC